CGAAATAGCAGCAGCAAGAGTTGAACAATATTCTTCGTTTAGATAGTCGTGTTCAAAATTCTTTCCTTCCAGACACACCAAAAGCGAGTAAGAGTTGCAAGTTATGGCACCTCCAACACAACACCTCCAAAGATTGGGCCGGTGTGTCGTGGATGAAATACACTGTGGAAGATGCTACTCTATGAATCTGCGTCTCTCGTACAAACGACAAGCACGAACACGTGGGCTTGGGATGGAAACAAGCAGCAAAGAATTATGGTTAATGAATTTTACGCATCGCGTTTCTATCGAGCTACCTATTTTCGTGTAAGTCATCATGATGCAATTCCCTTTATTAAAAAATCTTTCAAAAATAAAATATACTGTTCTGAAGTTTTATTTGAGGAATATTAGATGATTTAAAGTATAATTAATCTGATTTGAATCAAATATTACTTTAAGTTTTAAATATCGAAGGAATGCATTTTTTAGCATTATTTAAAGTGTTTTATATCTGTTACCCCCTCCCCTAATCCTTATATAATTTTAAGAAATTAAATTTTTTTCACTCCTTGTTGCTTATATTAATTAAAAGCAGAAGCCCTTGGAGAATTTAAATCATCAATTTATTTTTGTCAAACAGGACCCCATGAATCGTAAAATAAAAAATGCCATAAAACTAAGACATTATTTAATTAGAAAAGCTTTTAATTGCTTATATGAATAATATATATTAGGGACACTATTGTCTTAAGAAAAAAAGTTTTTCGATAGATAATGAATTTTTACAAGAACTGTTTCCATTTATTTAAAATTTTAATTATAATAATTTATAAAGTTTTAAATCTTTTAAAATTATCTCTTACTTTGCAGAGGTTAGGTGATATTGTTATTAAGTACAAACTATATGTACTAATCATAAATGGAAAAGCTTATTACAACTTAGCAAACGCCAATATTTTAAAATTAATTTTGAATTTTTTGTTTGTGTATAAAGTTTATATTTATACTATAAACGTGCCGATTTTTGTAAATACGGATGTCCATACACGACATTATCAGAAAATAAGAGCGATAAAGAAAGTAAATTTAAATCCAAAGTAGCTAAAATTCAATAAACATTACGGAAAATATTTTCCTAAATTTGTAGGATTACTGGGTAGTAAAAAATTATATCAAAAAGACGCTCACGTTATATTCACCAAGTAATTTTTAAAGATATATCCACCGTAGAAAAAAATTCGATAAACTTCTGTTTGTCAGTCAAGGTGTCAGCCTGTCAACGCCTTAAATAAGCAGGTACTGCCGTGTTAAAAAAAATGCATTTCTGCGATATTTTAAACACAGAATCATAGATTCGGTATGTGTGTCTGTATGTGTGGCGGGGCACGAGTACCGGATATATATATATATATATATATATATATATATATATATATATATATATATATATATATATATATATATGTGTGTGTGTGTGTGTGTGTGTGTGTGTGTGTAAGCGAATATGTGGATATAGATCCGACAGTATGAAGAAAAATATGGAAAAACAAAAATCCAAATATGCAAGTATGCTGTTTTAATGTTGTTTCAATGTCGACGTCAGACGTTTCAGTCTAGTAGACCTTCTTCAGGACATAGTTATTAAAACATAATTAAAATTAGACAATATTCAAGTCAACATGAAAAGACAATAGACATAAGACTAATCAAAACAGAATAGCTGAATTTTTTAAGATGAGCGTTCCGTTTCACAATACGATCACGTCGGCGTCACGCGGGCGATGTTGTGAAAAAGATAGTATGATATCTACTATTCATTTTCTACTATGGTATGATATTTTCCACCTGTTGAAAGTATGAAAGGTGTTATAGTTAGAAGTTAGGGGTAGGGGTTAGGGTTAGGGTTAGGCTTAGAGGTTAGGGTTAGGGTTAAAGGCAGTGAATAGTGAACTGTTTATTTATTAAAAATCATTAACAATTTTTATACAAAAAAATTTTAAAAATCATCGAGCAGTGATTTTAATGTTTTTAAACTGATGTCATTTAAAAAACCTAGTAAACAGGTCATTGTCTTTCCTGAGCATTTTACGGCAATAATGAGTGGCATTGTGATTTATGGTAGGTCGCAAATGCCTCGGTAGATATCATACTTACTAGCACCTATATGTGTGTGTGTGTGTGTGTGTGTTGTGTGTGTGTGTGTGCTCGCGAATTTATGAGGAGTATGTTGACATCCACACAGAAATGCGCAGAACATTTATACACACACACAATCAAACACACACGCACACACACTCACAATGCCGCACACACACACACACACACACACAATGACACACAAACACACACTCACAATGACGCACGCACACACACACACAATGACACACACACAATGACACACACACACACACAATGACACAGTATTTAATGAAAGCACCCTAACCAGAACACCAGCAGACAAATCATGTTGTACTTAACGTGGGAACATGTTATAGAAGTGGCGATAGGTGTTGATTAAGACCCACGTGAAAGGCAAGCTACAATTTGATATCTACTTGGCCGGGAGATTCCGAAGAGTCATCTGCCGGCGGCAAGGTAAATACTGATCAAAAAGGACACCTGAGACAGACAGGTAACACGGACGCCGTCGTCTTTGTCACGCCCACCAAGATGACAGCCGAAGAACGAAGTGCAGTAATGAGAGTCCACTTAAATCTTCGGTCATTTTCTATTTGTCTGTCTCCGACTTGTTAACCAGAACACTTGCACTGTAAAAACTCAATGCTGACCCCTCATTTTTGACAAATGTAACTAGTTTTAAAAGGTTTTATGGTCTATTTTCTCAACATTTATTCACTAACATAGAATAAAAAAAATTTTTTTTAGGTTGTAAAGTAATCCTCCCCCCCTTTCATCTATTAGTAAAAAAAAAAAATTTTTTCACTTTGCTGAAATTTGAGATGTGATAGCCAAGACAGTTGCGTTTTCCCCAACTCCATTGATACAAGATAAGATTCTAAATGCTGATTTTCAAGACAGACACCCGAATAAATTTTTCTCACTTGATTAATTAATTTGTCGTCTTACGGTTTATCAACCCTTTATGAGTTATTTAAAGCCGAAACATAGTTCGGATTGTAGGAGGTCGCTTACACTAACTGGTGTTCCCAGGCACCCCGACTCCTATCTAAGTACTGACTAACATCTAACTGCCTTAATGAAGATAATTTTGTTACTAACATTTTACAGTCTATGCAAATCCTTCAAAGGAAAGACTAAGTATCAGAACAGAGCTAAGGCAGTATGGATTCACCCAAAGAAGTTTTCATTCGACCGACAAAATCTCTGTTTCATTTTTTATTGTATTTTTCCAATTTTTGAATAAGTTGTTGCACATCTGTATCAAAATTGTGGATAAACTGTCCAAAGTTCATGTTTCGTTCTGTTTTTGTTCAAGTACTTTCGACTGTCTCAGTCATTATCAAGAACCGGGTGTTTTCTATATGGTAGACAAGAATTAGTTAGCTACATCCTGACATTTGTTAGGAACATTGGGATTCAAACTAATCCAAAGTGACGTCATACATAAAACGGTTACACGGAACTAGACCGCACTAGAAAAAATATTTTGCATGTATTTGTTATATTTAGTTCACTCCATGAGTACTATTGATACAATGTAACCTGCTTTGTAGGCGACTAAACCGGTTCCTCATCAGGCTTTTAAGGTGGCGAGACGGCGAGCGGGATTAAAAACACATCCTGTCAAAGGTTCACATGAATCCTTTCATCTAGCACGGACATGAGCATGGTGTTCAGGAACACAGCAGGACCACTGGGAGTGTCCGCCGGACCCGTTAGCCGTTGTTAAAGTATCCAACTAAAAGAAAAAAAACTGATGTAAAACTCCGCGGATTGACAGCATCCAATGATAATGACTGATCCTTCGTTTTGGATACAACCTATTCTTGCTCAGAAAGTGGGACTGACCCCCGTGCAAAAATGTCTATAAATTTTTAAAATGTTATGCACAGAAATTGCTTAATATGATATGATATCTTTCGGTGGCCATGCTTGACAATGGGGTGACTGCCGTCTTCGTGGCCGAGTGATTAGAACGTTTGCTTTTTTTTGATCATGAGACCCAGGTTCGAATCTTACCATGATCATTTAGTCAAGAAGGTGATTTTTTATCGGTTTGGAGAAGCGCTGCAAAGTGCCTGATGGCTATACCATAGATTATGTGCGCTCTTTGAGAAACCGTGTCTGACGTCCGCTCACCATAGTTGCCGTATGAAGCACAGGTTGTAATATGAACAAATACAAATGTGCCTGTGCTGGTGTTTGCAACAAGGATTAGCTAGCCGCCTTAGCGGACGGGAGAACTTGGAAAATGAGAGTAACCGTCTATTATGTATGCATTATTATTTACACTTTAAAATACCATCTTCTGTGGTGAAAGCTATTTTATTTAATGCCGGTTGCTTCTTTTGTATAATAATGGCTCTTTTTATAGTGTCTTTCCTTGTAGTGAGTGCTGTATTGTATTTGGGTATTATCTATCAATATTTGTGTTATGTTGATAGTTCTATCTTGGTTGGCTGTGGTGCAAAGATCGATATGGACACGAATTGCACTAAATTTCAACAAGTGGCAAGTCAGCCTACGAAAGTGTGTGGTGTAATATCAAAATTTAATTTCATGTTTTCATGATTGATATTGGTGATGTAATCTCTTAAGTGCATGAGAATCACTACTTGATGATTTTTGAAAATTTTTTGTATAAAAATTGTTAATGATTTTTAATAAATAAACAGTTCACGGTTCACTGCCTTTAACCCTAACAACTTTGATTTTACATGAAGGGTTGAAATCCCGGCGATTGTTAAATAATTGGGATAGATATTATAAATACATTCCTTTTCAATGTCGTTTATTATTCAGTTCGCCACCCCTAAGTAAGGCGATAAAGCTACTAAGACGCAAGGGGTTACAGAAAGTGAAAGAAACTGAGAAAACTTTAAACTGTAATTAAAGGAGAACAGTTAACGAGCCATTTCTTGCCCCAGTTAACATCAGACTGAAGTTCATATTCGAGATCAGCTGCCAGTTTATCGAACCTGTCAGACTTAGTATTAATACAAGAATAAATAGTTATGTCATCATAGATACTGACTCGAGAACTGATGATATCGAGAAAGTCGTTAATGAATATTAGGAAAAAAGTAGCTCCTAAATAGAGGTCTGGAGGACAACTGCATCCATGTAAAAAGATTTAGAAGAGTGGCCGTTCAAGACAACTTTCATTTTGCGATTTGGTAAGAAAGATTGAATCAAATAAAAAAATTAAGCTAGAAACATCATAACCTTTCAACTTGCGAAGAAAACCAGATCAGGATTTGACCGAGTGGTTAATCGAACTGGTTATATATGTAAAGTCCGCTCAGCATCGCTTTGTGGGTGTTGAAAAAAGGCAAATGTGCCTGAACAGACATCTGCAACAAGGATTAGATAGCCACCCGCAACAGATACTCGGTAAAGAGTAACCAGCCATTAAAATGCCCCATATCAGGGAGAGAGTGTTTGCAATTAGGAAAAGTGTGGACTGTTTTACGCCTTAAAGCGATCATCCGACTATACATATGTGCAACAATAATAATAAGGATCTTTGAGAACAGAAATATCTCAGTTGTTTATTTGGTGTGTGGCTTTCAGATTGCTTGTTAGTGACTATACGATAGGAGGCCCCAAACTCGCATAGTTAAGGAAATGTTTAGCCGGATTTTTTTTATGAAGAAAGTTGGTGCTGAATAAAAGTAAATTGTTTAAAAATTGAATTAAAAAATAAATTAACTTTTCACAAACATTGAATTACAACTCGCGAGGAATTCCTTGTAAAAAGAAGCTCGTATAGATTTTTAATCTGAAAATCGTCTGCTTTTTCCCATTTTTATTTTATCGCTAAGAACCTACAGAAAAATGATTTTTAAAAAAACTAGCGAAAGAAATCATAGTAGAAATTAAAAAAAAAAAAAAAGAAGTTTGCTAAACGGGAAAACGACGTAGATCGGTGTTTACTTGTCTTTTTCAGATAAGGTTACAATAATAAAGCATCAGTCGGGCGATGAACACGCTAAGTTCGTTATCATATATCTCACAGGGTTAAGAAAAACACTAATCAATATGGGAAACAGACAACCATTTCAAGAAGGTAATCACTAACATAATTTCTGTAAGGAATATTAAAACTTCACGTGCCTACATCACTTATATATATATATATATATATATATATATATATATATATATATATGTGTGTGTGTGTGTGTGTGTGTGTGTGTGTGTGTGTTTGTATTGTGTGTGTGGAGAGAGAGAGAGGAGAGAGATCCAAATGCAATACGAACAATCAAATATAAATTCAAACGTTCATTGATTTAATTTAAAAAAGCGCTCAAAACAAAAGTAGAGTTATAATTCTTTATTATAAGTTATTACATTCGAACATACATATTTCTGCTACAAAAATGCATTAATGTTTATAAATGCATGGTTAGCCTTTTTAATAATACTTATAAAAATGGTTATAACCATTTTACCACCGCCTGATGAGATGCTATGTTGCATTGAAACATTAATGCAGTTTTGTAACAGAAATATGTATGTTCGAATGTTATAACCTATAATAAAGAATATATATATATATATATATATATATATATATACATACATACATACATATATATATATAGAGAGAGAGAGAGATGAACAAAGATATGAACAGAATGAGAGAGATTGATATTAAAATACTGATATAGATAGATAGATAGATAGATAGATAGATAGATAGATATGAACAGAATGAGATAGATTGATATTAAAATACACATAGATAGATAGATAGATAAATAGATAGATAGATATGAACAGAATGAGATTGATATTAAAATACAGATAGATAGATAGATAGATAGATAGATAGATAGATAGATAGATAGTGTTTTATCTTTGTCGATTATGACAACCAATAAAATCGTCTTTAGAGATTCAGGTGCTTACGGCATTAAACTCTATAAAACTCAAATTGTTTTCTATCTGGACGTATGCCAAGTCAATATCGCTACTTTTTTGACGATCGTTTTAAAGCTTTTTATTGTCAATATATTCTATTATGATTTATTATTATTATTGTGATTTCTAGCAATCGTCACAACTACATTTGTGAATATTTTGCTTATTTCCAAATGTCCTTGGGTTGATGTTAAACAGACCTTACTGTTACGTCTGTAAATCCAACATCGTCTGTCAACAGCTGTTACGCTTTTCGTCATGTGAGCGACCTTTTAGTCACGGTTCTGCCATCTGTCGGCGATGAATGTTACTAATATCTTCTATGATGGACGCCACTGTTGGTGATTGCTTGGTACCAGCTGGTCCAAACAGCAATAAAGGCGAAGACAATAAAAAATAAACATTTATAATAAAAAAGAAAGAAAAAAAGAAAGAAAATAGAACGTATAAAGAATTAACATCAACCAAAGTGACATGAAAAGACGTAGCGGTCAACGTAATGGCGAAAAGATCGGTAGAAATGGATCGAAAGTGGAAGTTTTTGTAAATCTATTAATATTTGCTGATCTGCCTGTAGAAAACTAGTTTTTCGAAGATAAACATAACAGATTCAAAAGAGAGACAATTTCTCACCATCAACGTATCTATCTTAAAAATTTATAAGTCTACCGTTCGTTTTTCTTTTGAATATTGCTGCCACATCTGGTCTGGTGCTTCTGCTATGTATTTAGAGATTCTTGATAAAATACAAAGAATCTGCAATGTTATTGATCCTCACCTGACATCTCGGCTTCAGTCACGTTTCCAACACCGTAACATATCTTCCCTGTACATTTTCTATAAATACTTTCATAGCAATTGCTCTGATGAACTTTCCTCTATGCCACCTAGACTTTATGAATTTAAGCGCAGTACTAGATTGGCGGCAAGGTCCCATCATTTTAAAATTGAAATATCTAGTCTTATTCTCTATCACTTAACGCTGTGGAACCCTCTTCCAGCTTCTTGCTTCCCAGTCAACTTTGATCTTCAAAAATTTAAACGCAATGTCAATCGTTAACTTCTGTCTTAATTCCTTTTCCTTTGTTTCTCTTATCAATAATGTTTATATATATATATATATATATATATATATATATATATATATATATATATATATATATATATATAAAATATATATATATATATATTCTTTTCCCCCTCATCACTCCTCACCATGCGTCTTAGTGGCTTTTTTTTTTCATTTATCTAAATTTGAAAGATAAAAAAACGCAATAGCCCAGTTGCTAGACCATGGAGATAAACACATGAAGTCTAGTTTCATGTCGTTTTACAACAACAGAAAATTAAATTTTGGTTTGCAACATTGACCTTTTGTAATTTTGAATCTTTGGTACCAGAAGATTTTTCAGGAATTTTGGGAGTTGGGGTGACTAGGCAATCAGTCTTGTACTTGTAAAATCCGCAAGATCAAAGAACAACTTGTCGAAGAAAAAACATTGTCAAGCAGTAAGTTTCTAATGTCACAGCATGACTACTTCAAATCATATTCTACAAATGTCTGCATAATTCAAGAACAGCTCAAGGTATAGTCTCCAAATTCTTTCTTTTTACTTACTAAAGAGACCAAGGAATATATTTTAGCTTGATCGTTTCTTTTAAAAATCCCAAAAAGTTATAAGAGAAGGGGGTCCAATTTACAATATGAGTATAATACTAAACTGGACCCTCGCTTTCTGTCTGTAAGGTCAGCTAAATAGCCCCTTTATATTTTTGTTTTGTTCCTCGTCAGAAATCGAAGAATTATTGTTTATCTTCATTTCAAATCAAAACTTATAGACCCTGTGATGTGGTTACTTACTTTTGTATGAGTAATGGTTACCAGAGGGTTATAATAAATTTTAACCCCAGTGTTTAACTTATAAATTTTCACAAAAATATACTTCAGTGTTACACCTGTGTTTATTGCTGCAAAAATAAATGCAACAAAAACCTTGGTATCAAAAAAAAAAAAAAAAAAAAAACGGCCAATGAATTTTCTGTGAGCTTTTACACTACAGACCCTCATTTCTTCTATAGAAATTAGTTTCTAACTAGGCCTGTTCTGCCATCCATTTACTCAAGCTTTCTAAATTGGTTACGCGTTCTTTTCCTCTGTCCTGCTTGCCGTCATTCTGCCCTGTTAGTGTCAATTTTTCCAAGCCCTCTTTCCTCATTATGTGCCCTAGAAATTTCAACTGTCTCTTTCTGATGTGTTCTTTTTGTTTGCATTTTCTCTAAAAACTTTGTCGTTGCTCAAATGTTCAGTCCATCGTATTCTCAGCATCCTCCGGTACATGTACATTTCTCTTGCTTTAAGTCTCTTCTTCATCTGTGATGAAATTGTCCTGCACTTACTGTCATATAGGAATTGACGATTACTATTACAAGAAAACTAATTATCAAATAACTGATAATTCTAGCTTTTCAACAATGCTTAGGCGATCTTTAACTTTTTCATAAAATGCTACTTATATTAAAATCCTGTTTATTACATGAGATATATATTTGTATATCTAATTCATTTCAACTATTGTTTGCATCTTAATTATTATAGATGTTATTATATATATACAACGTTTTAGTAGAGTAGCCACAGACCATCTGCAGGTGTCCATTATTTGGGATATCTGTCGATTATTGCCTTATTTTTGTTCCTGTGATGCCAGTTCTTGCCCGTTCTTGGTTATAAATTTGGTTATAAACTAAATTATAATAAAATACTAGCTTAAAGGCCATACTCCTTGTGGACTTTTAAGCTAACACCTGTGGAAACCTAATTGAGCCAAGACTAAATGGACTTCTAGTCCAGCTTAGAAAACAGCAAAAATATTTTAAAGAAATAACTTTGAATCCATCAATTCACTTCATGGAACCTTAAAACATCACTTTAATTCTGATTCTGGTTATAGGTTATAGGTTATAGGTTAGGTCCAATTCCGGTCAAAAGATCGATTTGGACTGAAAGTCCGATTTGGGCCGGAATTTGAGTCGGAAGTCCAGTTCAGGCTGAAAATTGAGTTCTTCAAATAAGAAACTCTGCGGAACTTCAAAACCTCATGGCACAAAATCTCTCACTTTAACCCAAATTCCTTGGAATTCTGAAGAAATAAAATTGATTTCCTCAATTCACAATGTTTTGGAGATATTTTAAAATAAATTTTTAAAAAAATGTGTTACTTTAAACTCAGTCTAAATTAAAAAAATCACTAATTTTTTTCAGTTATTTTAAAATTTAAATATTTCACTGTTCCCTTCTCATCCGGACACAAATCCCAACGCTGAATGTTCAAACACCAGATGAAGGGCAGAATTTCAATCTCGGGATCATCCTGATTCCAAAAGGATTCTATGTAGAGCAAGTGTGCACCGAGTTAGAGGGGTTTCAAACACACGGACGGACAGGCAGAATTTTGCCGTTTATTTATTTAGATATATATTAGAGCATATATTAAAGTCTATATTGAAATACTAAAATATCAAAAGCGCTACAAAACCTGTCTTGATAACCAAATATCGAAACAATATGACATTGTATATAAAAGGCTCCAAAAATACACCATTTTGGGGTGGCGAAATGGTGGAAATAGGAGTTAGTTAAATATGTGTTATTAACATAGGGGTGATCGAGAGTTCTGGATAAGGTAAGTAAGACACTCTCTTTCAAGTGGAACAATTAAGAACTGTCATCACATGGACAAAATAATAAATATCCTACATCGGCCAAATAATGGAGAGCTGAAGATATTATTTGGCCTAAATGTTAACTTACCCTACCTCATCAACTGAAGTCGAGATTCTAGAATGCATGTGAAACTCCATAATCCTTCCCATGGATGTAAAGTATGCTCTTCGACAGGGCTACATCCAGTTTTGAATTTATAGTTGTCCTAGACTAGTTGTCAGCCTCGACTAGGGAGTTCATAGGGAAGAAGAAATGGAGTCATACTCTTCCCATGATTGTGAAGAAGGGAAAGCAATGAACTTAACCGGAATTCGAACTCAGCACGTTAAGAGTCTCTCACAATCACATTGCCAGAACATTTTAACTGTCAGAAATGGGTGTCGTACCAGAAGCCAATCTTTAAAACAGAATGAACCATTGTTCCTTGTATCTGGCTCCTTAGACCGCTTCACCTGCAAGTCGCTGCTTATATTGGCCTGATTCTTTTTTTTCTATTTTTTTCTATTTCATTATTACAAATTTCTGCACAGGATCATTGAACCAGGCGTGGGATTCAAACCAACGCCCATGGGCCAGAGTATCATCCTTAAATGCCCGTAAGCCAGAGCATCATTCTTAAATGCCCGTAAGCCAGAGCATCATTCTTAAATGCCCATAAGCCAGAGCATCATCCTTAAATGCCCGTATGCCAGAGCATCATGCTTAAATGCCCGTATGCCAGAGCATCATGCTTAAATGCCCGTAAGCCAGAGCATCATCCTTAAATGCCCGTATGCCAGAGCTTCATCCTTAAATGCCCGTATGCCAGAGCATCATCCTTAAATGCCCGTATGCCAGAGCATCATCCTTAAATGCCCGTAGAGCATCATTCTTAAATGCCCATAAGCCAGAGCATCATCCTTAAATGCCCGTATGCCAGAGCAACATCATTAAATGCCCGTATGCCAGAGCATCATCCTTAAATGCCCGTAAGCCAGAGCATCATCCTTAAATGCCCGTAAGCCAGAGCATCATCCTTAAATGCCTGTATGCCAGAGCATCATTCTTAAATGCCCGTAAGCCAGAGCATCATCCTTAAATGCCCGTATGCCAGAGCATCATCCTTAAATGCCCGTAAGCCAGAGCATCATTCTTAAATGCCCGTATGCCAGAGCATCATCCTTAAATGCCCGTATGCCAGAGCATCATTCTTAAATGCCCGTAAGCCAGAGCATCATCCTTAAATGCCCGTATGCCAGAGCATCATCCTTAAATGCCCGTAAGCCAGAGCATCATTCTTAAATGCCCGTATGCCAGAGCATCATCCTTAAATGCCCGTATGCCAGAGCATCATTCTTAAACGCCCGTAAGCCAGAGCATCATCCTTAAACGCCTCTGCGCCAGAGCATCATCCCTAAATGCCCGTATGCCAGAGCATCATCCTTAAATGCCCGTATGCCAGAGCATCATCCTTAAATGCCCGTAAGCCAGAGCATCATTCTTAAATGCCCGTAAGCCAGAGCATCATCCTTAAATGCCCGTATGCCAGAGCATCAT